CTCGATGTTCGTTACAGTGCCCACTTGCAACCTGAATACAAATGAATCTATTAGCAGAAAGAGCCGAGATAGTGGATCGGCGCCGATATCACGTCCCCACTCTCGTGTATGTTAGAGTTCTATCATTTGAGCAAACATCAAACGGATATTAGACTACGGATATTTGTCAGCCCGAGCCAATTGAAACACATAAATTGCAAGCGTTTTTTAAATATTATTTATGCTAACTGATAAGTCCTAAGGACTTATAAAGTAAGTGGCCGTGCTTTGTCGCATACTAGTTGATTTCCGACTCATTTCGTGTTAAATCGGTATAAGGAAACTGTGGGCTCATTGAGTAATACAATTTACTGTACGGAAACGTTGATGGCTATTCGGACCCAACCCATACACAATTTGGCTCCCCGTATATTATTTTGAAAGTATAATTTATTTGTGGAACCGGTTCGACCCTCACAACTCAAAGGTTTTGCTGACCATGATCAAAAGATTACTGCTATATTCCAATTATTTTTTATATCAGAGACCTATCAAACATAAATATTTCTATCAATAAATATTTATAGCTCCATTATGATGAATACATTATGATTTTGAATGCATTAAAATAAATGTCCTACTGTTGTATATTGTGTTGTTGTCTGGCTTAGCTTTTTATTATCTTACATGAGTACGCCTGAAGCTGGCCTAATTATTATCAATCCACGTCAAAGGCCGTTAAGAAAATATGCTATGTGTCTTCAATAGACGGAGAAAAAAGACTTAGAAATAATAATCTCATTTCATTGCAAGTTCATTAGCCTCTAAATGGATTAATTTACATTGGGTTACCGATAAGTTTAAATTGTCCTTTTTTTGTATAGTTGCCAAAATCTCGATGTAACCACATCATGATAAAAAAACTGTTGTAGTAGGATTAGTGGTGAAATATTGTTTGGCGATAGTGTAGCGTGAGTGTACGTGAAATGTCATAAGTGACAGCTACGACCGTGTAAGCGACAAAACATCTAAATTGGCTTTAATTAACCGACTACCAAAAAGGAGGAGGTTTTACATTCGTCGGATTCTTTTTTTTGATTCTATATTCTCAGCTCGTAACAATATAAACAATGCAGATCACATATAAATATAAACCTTCATTTTATTGGCCTGCGAATATTACAATTTACTATAAAAGCCCAATACTGTTATTTTTGGAATTTATCAAAAAAAAATTAAGAATTATAATAAAAGATTTTAGTTACATACATTTTTTATTAAAAGATAGATATATACCTACTCAATTTATTAAATTTTATTAGATAAATATACCTAAATAAATCTATCAGCTGCGAAACGTATAATTTTTTGATGTCACATGGGTAAGGAAAAATAATATTTTCAACTACTTTTTAAATGAAGATTGCTGTTTTATTACCATAAAATAATATCTTCTCAAGAAAGTGAAGCATCATTTAAAAAAATGTATTTAAAATACTTATAATCACGCCCTTTAAGTTTTGTTTAAATTGTATACAATATATATTGTCACGCATCTGTCGATATAGGCATATATTATAATATCAGGATTTTTTCATGAAGCATAACTCAATGTGATTCATCTAAAACCGAGTTTTATTTAAGTATTAAATACAGATAAATTTTACATAACAAATATCAACTAATGAAATACTAACCTAAAACAGAGAATCGACAATTAAATGTTCATGCTGTACTATTCTTATTATTAAAACTTAAATCGTCTTTTGCACTTTTAAATTAAAGCAAATTCACAAACATCACTGAGTTTTAATGTAATTATTAAACAACGTTTGTAATTTAACTATACGTTATTATTCGATTGGAAAAAGAAATCTGACACACTCAAATGTCAATGTCAGTGTCAAAATAAAGCTTACATGTACGAGTATATCCAAATCCTACCTATTATTCTGTTGTTTTTTGGTTATATGAAATCACTTTTCTTAAGCTTTCTTTATTCTTCTTACTTTTGGATTCTACAACTGAAAAATCACTCTTTTAATCACTAATATCAAATACAACTGTTAAAAATAATCAAACAATGTTTGTTCTTATTTGGAAATTATTTTACAAAATCACTGCTAGTAATCCCTTTATCCTAAATATGCCAACATGGCTCTTTCTTTAGAGAAGTTTAATTTTATTTCCACTTACCGTAATCTCTCATGCGTACTCGTTCTTTTCAACATACTCATTCCTTTTACGTGTGAAGTAAACGCCTAAAAATCTCAAATCGCAGTTCACATAAAGTTAAAATAATTATAAATATAAAATAAGGAAGTTTTTAAAGGGACGTCTAACCAAGAAAATAAAGGAAGCGGCGATGTAACTTCAAAATCCTAAGAATCAGAGTTCAATAATATTGGAGGTATGCGAATTCTTTTTTTTTTATGTAAAACATATCATTATTACTATTTTATATTAATAAATTGACAGAAATATAAATCTTTCATTATTATTAGTTTTAAATCCAGATTGTCAATCATGATAAAAAATTAGCTGCGAGCTAATTGGCCGAAGTATGGGTCGTAAGTATGTCTTATATATGTCTTATATATAAATGAAAAATATATTATATTATGTTATAAAATAAATCTTTATTTTACATAAGATTATTGGTTATATCGGAATTGACTGTGAGTGAAGCACGATATTATAATTAGTGGCAAGAAAAAAACATTTTTGATATAGATGAACTTGCAACTCATCTACAAGAACTACGCAACTTGCACTAGAACAAAATTTTGAATTTTCCCATGAAATTGATTTGAATAAGATTTTACCGCACTGAGTAGTCAAATGTGTTAAGTTTTAACCCTGCTACAGGATAACTAGGCCGAACTAGTTATTGTTTTTTCCCGTGGGAATGAGAGATTTCCCTGTAGTAAAATAAATGCTATAAGTTCACCCAAGTAATAATTTATCACAAAACAAAAAGTTAAAGCTCGTTCAGTACTTTTTGCGTGAACAACATCTTTGCTCTGTTGATACACAGATAAATAAATATGTTGGTATATTAGCTAACACGCAGCACCATCTAGTTACATACAGCTTTGGCTTTATTGAAATTTTCTTATAATATAACAAAAATGTGGTATAATAGTAAGCGCGTGACATTATATATATATTATTACTAGCAGAACCCGCGGCTTCGCGCGCGCTAAAACTACAAAAAAATCTCTGAAAAGGTAGTTTCATACAAACTTTCATCCCCTATTTTACCCAAATATATGATGAATTTCAAAAAATGCTTAAACACATATTTATTTAATTTTATTGAAGAGCATTAATACCAAGTTTCAAGTTATTCTGATCATAAATATTTTTTTGGATTGTATTATAACGTATATTCCCGTGGGCATTAGATAATCTCACGTGGAAAAAGTAGCCTATGTCGCTCTCCAGCTCTCCAACTATCTTTACACAAAACGCCAATCTGTCACTTCGTTTTGACGTGAAAGAAGGACAAACAAACACACTTTTACATTCATAATATTAGTATGGATACGTAATATTATACTTAATATACAAAATTGTCTAAAGTACCCAAATATGAAATTCTAAATAACCCTATCATGTATAGATTTTACGTAATTTTATTATCTTTAATTATACTAGGAGTTATAATAATATGTTCCATATCATAACGTAACGTGTTTAATAAAACTTTATTAAAGAATTTTCCATGTAGAAATATCTCATAATATTTTTATTCGTTGTTTATTGGTTTTGTTATGTTTGCTTAGGACTGACATCGTTGAAATAGAAACTGAAAATATAGGTATAAAGCTTTCAGTTCTATATTTTTTATATTACTTTGCAATAATATAAAGTAAATTAAAGTGTGCATGAAATAAAAAGAAATAAATCTTAATAATTAGGAAACATATTATGTTAAAGAAAGAAATAATGGCAAAGAAATTCAAAAAACTGTTTTTTAATTAAAGTAATATTACATATGACCTTCTACGTTGAAAATGTAAGAAAGTAAAGCAAAAGCGTCTAAGGCTTTGAAATAGGTCGAGGATCACTTTTTCAAGCCACTAAAAACGGTCTGCTTACAAAAAAAAACTCTTTTAAGAAAGTCGCATAGGTAAAACTTTTTTGTAAAGTCGCGTGTAAGTTATTCTCATTAAATGTTTCTCATGGTTATTTATTACATATGTATGTTTTAACTGATATAAGATAGGTCAAGAATAAAAATGTCTTAGTCGAGAATCGAACAAGTACTAGGCAAGAAAGCATATAGACTGAATTACTGTAAAAATAAGTATATATCTCACTAATAATAACATACAATTAGTTTCAGTTTATATGATACATTAACTAAACCTCATAGTTGGTTATGACTTGCAATACATTGAACAACCATTTCCTTAAGAGATACGAGTACTTCCATTATCGGCTTAGTGTCGTGCTCATAATCCAAGACGTCAATACTAAATGCGTACTTTAGCTCATTTCCCTTGGCGTAAGCCTTTAAGTGTCAATTAGGATAAGTGTCTGCTTGAACACCTATACCATCCAGACGTCATCCGGTTAATGTTTTATTCAAGTCTATGAAATTTGAGATTACTAATGCTATTTTAATAGAATAAAATTATAAGTATTTTATTTTGTTATCTCTGTTTCTTTAAGTAGCATTGTGTATTTTTTTTCAGTAGGTAAGTAACTACATCTAAAATAAAACAATTTTATATTTATGGCAACAATTTAATAAATATTTTGTCATCTACTATCTACTATTTATAAATAGTTTCTATATCTACAGTTTAGCAATTTATTCACCTATTTATAAATTCTACTATCTATTTCTATAAATACTTTGCCTATTGTATAATGTAACTATTTATTAACCAGACTAGGCCCTAAAATAATAATAAAAATTTGCAGGCTATACTGTTTTCGTCGTAATTATTTAATTTAACATATAAGAAGTACAAGTTTTTAATATAAACTATTGTAACTGTCGTAATTTATTTCATTTTGTCAAAAGATATAGTACGATTTTTTGTCATTCCTAACAATATATTATCTGTGGATGCGGTTGTTGAATTTTGTAAGATATCTTCCTTACTCTGTAAAGAATGGTAGTCATTCATTTCCGCCCACGCCGGATCCGATTTGGCTATACGTTTTCTCTCTTTAAATTTAGTGTACAATAAAATAGTGACCATGACAAAAAATACTATAAACCCTAAACAACATCCTACTATCAACCCTGTGCGTCTATTTAAAATAGAAGATATTTTAAATCCTTTATTCGGTTTAATTTTCACATTCGAAATTTTTCTTATGGTATCAAAAGAAACACATTCACTTGCCGGTGATTGCGAGATCAGAGATGCTGCAAAATTGCGACTCATCTTTAAAGTGATATTGGATTCCAAATCTGTTCCGTTATATTCCCCTAATCCATCTTCTTCAAAATTTAATACGGGATTATCGTACATTGTTAGTACGCATACGATATAATTTATATTCGATTGTAGATTAGTTATCAGTGTTGACATTGAATATTTGTCTATATCTTTCAACTTAACCTGAAAATTAAATTTATAAATATATTGAACGTACTCTATAAAGTCATAACCATGATGTTGTTTCGAAGTAAATAAAAACGAATTGTACAAAACAATTGTAATAACATTTGTTTTATAGTGTGGGCATAAAAGAGAGTAATAGTCGTATCGTTACACGAACTTTTTAAATACTTTCAGTTACTATGAGATTGATTTTATCTTAATTAAATGAAAACGTAAATTAACAATTTCAAAATAGTGACTCTAAAGTAAGTATGTTCTTACAAATACGGTGAATATTTATTTGCGTAAATAAAAAATGCATAGAATTCTTTCTTTATCTATGACGGGCGAGGCTCACGCCTTAGCTCGCGTTAAAAAAACATTCATCGACATTATATATGTGAGTATAATGTATTAGGGAATTCAAACGAAACGATTTTCATATGAAAATGCTTTTAAACTAGGAGAAAAAGTATGTATGTATGTATTCAGCCCTTTTTAACGTCCCACTGCTGGGCACGGGCCTCCCTTCAATACGAGGGGGTTCTGACATAGTCTACCACGCTGGCCGAGTGCGCGTTGGCGGACTTCACATGACGTCTTTCGAAAACTTGCAAGGTTCTCTCAAATGTGCAGGTTTCCTCACGATGTTTTCTTTCAGCGTAAGGCAAGTGGTAATCGTGTTAGACATGATTCGCACATGAAAATATCAGAGGTGCGGAACCCGGGATTTGAACCCGCTTCACTTGGTTTTCTAAGCGAGCGCGTTATCACTGGGCTACCGCTGCCTTGCACTTGATAAAAAGTAAGAGCAATTAATAGTAAAATAGTAGAAATGCCTGTAGAATGCACATATATTATGTAGCTAATGTTATGTAATTTAAAATACTTACATCAGAATCTACGTTATCACTGTAGTACAATATTTTTAAAGCTTTTATTGCTGTGCGATTCCTTATTAACCATGAGACTAAAACAGAATTATCATTATGTTTTTCAACGGATAACTGGACAATTAAGGGAAAATCACATTTTTCTTTTGGATAGTCATCATTAAAACAAATAACTGAGTATGGTTTTATTATTTTAGGATGGTCTTGTATCCAAGTCCAAGTATTATTTTTTTGGCAACGACAAATAATGACATTATCTGAAATCAAATGGGTCTATTAAATTCATCGTAAACGATAAATATATTAAAATATCAGAGTACAAAATGTACCTACCTTTGATTGATATATTTTGAACATGATTTTCGATCGATGTGAGTAATTCCAAAGGTATAGTTTGAAGTTTATTGTGCTCTAAGTCTATTTGTGTTACTTTATTTAAATTATTAAATGCAGTAGCTGATAGGTATTTAATGTTGTTAAAAGATAGATTTAATACAGTGAGTTCTTTCAAATGAATTAAGTGTTCATTTATAATATTTTGCAGTTTATTATAAGAGAGATCCAGAAGTTTAAGATTATTTAAGTCTTCATCAAAAGATTCCATTGATTCTATATTATTATTGGATAGACACAAAGCATTCAATTTGATGAGACCGCGAAAATTGCTTGTCTTAAGATGAGTAATTCTATTGAAACTCAAATCTAAGTTTTCTAAAAATGACAATTTAGAAAACGGACTTATTGAAAACCGTCGGATTTGGTTAAATTTTAAATAAAGATGCTGTAAGTTAGTAAAGAAATCGAATGTTATATCTTCGATATTAGTTAAGTTAGTAGAACAGATATGTAATTCGTAGAAGCTTGTTGATATGGTGTTGTTGTATGGTTTATTATTTCCACTCCAAGTGATAGCGGGATTTTTACTAAGATCTATGTTTATTAGTGAACCTCCCACATTTCTATGAGATGTAAAGAAATCAAAATGTATGATATTATTGTATGAAATGTTGATATTTTGAATATTTGGAAAGCTTTCAAAAATAAACCCAGGCAAATTATCAAGTCTATTAAAACTGATGTCGAACAGTAACAATTCATCAAATACAACCTTTTTACTGCATGAAATTAATTGTATTTCATTTTTACGTAGTATCAAAGATTTTAATTTTATTAGTTTTTCAAAACCACTTATTTCTAATTTAGGTATTAAATTATCAGCGAAATCAATAGATTTTACTGAATGTAAGTTTTCGAATAAGTTATATGGAACGTAATCTAAAAAGTTATTACTTATATTAAATTCCGATACTGTATTATATGGACTGAAAATTGTTTCTGGAATATCATTTAGAATATTCTGTGCAATGTTTAAATTATATAGGTTTTTATTATTAACAAAACTGCCTTCTATAATTCTTTCAATATTACAGTGTTCTAAAAAAAGAGTTTCCAAAAGTGGAAGATTATAAAAGGCTTCAACGGGTAAATGATCTAAAATATTATATGACAAAGATAAATATTTTAAGCCTGGAATGTCAAGACATAGTAAATCGCTTGATTTTAAAGAATTATTTTTTAAAGACAGATATTTTAAGTTATTTAGACCTTGAAATGTTCCATTTTCTACCACCTCTATTTCACAGTTATCTAATAATAAAGAGCTTAAGGGTAAACCTTGTTGAAAAAGATTTTTATTTAAAATTTTTAAAGGATTAAAAGAAAGATTAATGCTTCTTAACTTTTTCAGCGAATCAAAGGCCATATCGAAAATGTAAACTATTCTATTATATGAAAGATCTAAGTCTTCTAATTCGCTTAAACCAAAAAATGTATAACTTGTAATATTTTTGATTTTATTATTATGCAAATCTAAATATCGTGCTGAACTTAAGCGTTGAAAAGAAAAATCATTAATAATTAATATTTCATTATGGCTCAACTCCAATCGAGTGAGATAAGTTAGATTATTAAATGTATTTTTCGATATGAATTTTAAGTGGTTATTTCTCAAGCTCAATTGATGCAATCTTTTCTGTGGCCCCAATACTATGTCATTTATTGAAGTTAGACGATTGAAATCCAATAAAAGTAAAAGTAATTTTGAATTTAATTTAGGTAAAATATCATTAATATCAACCAAATTGTTGTTATTTAAAGCGATATATTTTAAATGTGACATTTTTTCAAATGTTCCTGCTTCAATAAAATTTATTTTATTATGATTCAAATATATATCTTCTAAATATATAGAATTCATGAAAATATTTTTAGTTACGCTTTTGAGCCAATTATTATTCAGTTTTATCTCTTTAAGATTTATTAGTGTTACTAAAGTATCATTATTTAAATTACTAAAATTATTATTGTCTAATCTTAACTTTATTAAGTTTCTATTAGTCATGAAAATACTATGTGGCACTTGATTTAAATAGTTAAAATCTAATTGCAGTTCTTCTAAATTTTCTAAATCACTAAAGCTCTCACTGTTTATATTATTAATGCAATTTTTATCTAAGTGTATCACGCTAATTTTGCTAGAATTGGAAAAGGAATCTATTGGCACTTCAAGAATATTATTATCACTTAAAAATACTTTGCTAAGAGACGACATATTGCAAAACAAGCCATGAATATGGTGCAAATGATTATGACTTAAGTCTATAAATTCTAAGTTCTTGTTATTTTGAAAAAGATTTGTGTGTAATATTTTTATTTTATTATGGCTCAAATCTAATGATTTTAAATTGGTAAGTGAATGAAATGCTCGATGATGTATGTTTGTAATAAAATTGAAATGAAATGATAAAACCTGTAGGGACGGACTAAATTTAAGGCAGTCTTCTGAAATAAATTCAAAATTATTGGAGTTCAAATCTAGGTACTCTAATGATAATAGATAAAAATTATTAACAGATGCAAATGAAAAAATCTCGTTCCAAGCTAATTTAAGGGTTCGCAGATGTTTAAGATTTGATATAGAAACTATTGGAAATGAAGTCAGATTGTTTTCGCTTAGGTCTATTTCAGTCAGACTCAATTCTAAGCTTGTAAATGCTGTGTCAGATACACGTCGAATAATGTTTCCTTTAAGGTTTAATTTTGTTAATGGAAGTCCATAGAAGCTGTAGCTTGGAATTTCTTCTATATAATTTGAGATTAGTTCGAGGGACATTAACTTTAACATGCCAGCAAGTGCTTTTTGCGGAATAAACTTAATCTTGCTCGATAAAATACTTAATGTTTCAAGGCACTTTCTTAGTGGCATAAATGTTTCATCATCGACTTCTTTTATGTTAGTTCGTGAAATGTATATGTGTTTGATACAAGCGCCTTGCGGTATAAAATGTGGTCCCAAAGCTTCTTCGCTATCGTCGAGGTCGTAAATAGAAAACGAATGCACTTTTGTTATACTTTTTAGTACATTTTTTATATCCCTTATTGTTGTGTCTTGGCAATCGAGATATATAGCTGGAACACAAATGTGCATCTATTAATTTTAATGTGCTCCTAAATAAAAAATCAAAAAAATGTTGTCTTACCATCTTCAAATGAATAACACGAGCATTTATTATTTTGTATCAACTCGGAGCACTCCAGGGTATTTTGAGCTCGGTAAATTGGAGGTAAAAATAGAAGCAATGAAAAAAATTGGAAAACACCATTTTCGTTCCTCTTTGTTTCACAGCGAAAAACCCTTTTCATAATTACATTATTATTGTAATTTATTTTCTCATACTGCTGTCTTCATTGTTCGTATCTGAAACAAAAGAGCGTTGAAATAATTCAATACTGCATATTGTATTGTTCCTATATAGCTTTTAAATTTATTTTTATATTTATTAAGTAATTAAATACATGTAATTTCTTATTTATAGTGATTGTCTTTTCAAATGCTGAAATACGGTATTAATACTTCAAAATACGTTAAAAATTTGCTTAAACAATATTGTTTGAAAATACAAGAAGTGTAACTGAGATTGAAAATGGTGAATTAACAGCGAGCTTAAGCTGTCACTTAGAAAATAAAAGAATTATTAAAATAGTGCATTAAATAAATAACAATTAAATATTTCAAGTTAAAGAAATTTTATGTTGTGTATTTAATCGTGTGTATTCATTCACATGAACAGTATATGTTCACTCACAAGATTATTTTCGAATTCATATCAATTACACTAGCTACAATAAACATTTATTTTTGAAAATGCTTACCTAAAATTTCCTGCGTTTCGCGCTCGCCAATTAAAAACAAAGTTATCTTTTAGTAGTTAGGGTTCATTTTTGTGACGCAACTTCCCAAGGACCGAAGTGCGCCTGTCCTTGAATTGTAAGGGTTCACCACACGTAACCAGCGAAATTTTAATCGCAGCAAGTTTTTATCTAATACAAACTACTGAATGCTTTATCGCGCAACACAGAACGCCTGAGGTCATTAGAAAGCTCGACAGAAGACTGCCGCGGCGGCGCGCGCTGTGTAGGTCAACGCTGTTGTTGCGGCACCCCCGACCCACTATTATTATACTTTTATGACGAATCAGATTCTGCCAGTATCGCTATTTTTCGTATAAACACGATATACTCATCTTGCAAACGTAGCATCTTTGTATTTACGCGATATAGATACCATATAAAAGTTAAAATGTAAATATTTGCCAATATTTGTATATGGTTTTTGACATACTTAAGTTAATAGACTGTTAAATAAACACGTTGCTTAAAAAGAATTTGTTAATTTAAAATGTATTGATTAGTTTTAAATTGACTTAGGTAAATTGAATTCGTTTTTAATTTGATTTATACTATTTATGTTTTCAGATTCTAGTATGTTTCGTTTCTTTATTTTAAAAATGAATAATTCTTTGTTTCTAGGAAAATTCATATTGTGCTTAAAAATTCTTATTGCCAGCAGCAATGACGCAACGAGCTGGAACGCCAACTAAGTGGTACTTGTCGATTTGATTCGGAACCCAATGACGTCAACTTTGGAATTTTGTTCAACGAGAAAATATCGATTTTTGCATGCATAATTGCATAATTATTAATAAATTTTACTTAAAATTTAGTTATCAAATTTTAAATAGCACAAAAAATTTCTACCTCTTCTCTAAAAGAATTTTCAATAACAATGATTAGGTATGTACTTTATTTTAGGCGAAACCATAACAATATTAAAATAACCACATAATGCTTGATTAGCTCTTAGAAATTAACTTTTAAAATTAAAAAATATATTATATAAACTTAAAAATTGAGATGTAATCACTTTAAACAATACGAAAAGAAAAAAACGTAATTTCCCTTAAATATTAGAACCCATTTGTACTAATTTAGGTATGTAAGCTGTATAAAAATCCGAATCGCGATGACAGTGTAAAGCGAAGGTGTAAAGGCTTATAAAACATCCATGTTTTCACAGTTTAAGTTTGACGCTGCATTCGTGAAACTTGTAAGCAGAAAATCCAAGCAAGCGTTTCACCTACGCTTTTAGACACAAATCTAGGTCACAGAAACGCTAGCTATTCATTATCACCTGATAGATATTTGTCAGTATTATAGGACCATTTTAAATTATAGTAAAACTAGCAAAATCTGCGACTTCGCCCG